TGCTATATCAATAGTTTTCATATCCTCTTAATGAATCACAACCCCTTTGTAAAATTTTCTCCTTTGTTTCTTGTGACTATTTTTGACACAAGAAACATATTTCGCTAATAAAAGTATAACCACCCCCACTCCCTTTTGGTTACTTTTGCATGGACTATCTTTTCTCACCTCTTCATTTACAATCACAATGTGGATAGGTGTAAATGCAGAGGTGGAGAAAAAATATCCATTCCAAAGTGAGCAAACCGTAAGTAGCATATAGGTGCATGTTCTTTATTAACCCAGGCACTCTCTGCTTTTTGACTTATTTAAATTGTTGTTTAAGGATTTATTATTGCCTTGTTATTAACTGTTTTGTTTTGTAGTTTCTTTGCTTCCTTCATCCTCTCTTGCTRCATTCTTTGTGGTGTTATGTTTTGGGTACATATAATTTGGTAGTATGTTTTTATTCCTGTGTACACTTATATATTTGCTACAGGTCTTTTTTAATTTCCATATGCACATCTTATCATCATGAGAGTCTGACAGCTTAGTTTCAGTTGCACATAAAATCTGCACTTATACTTATCCCTCCCATTTATGCCATGGCTATCACAGTTTACATCATTTTTTTTTAAGAGAGAGTGAGAGAATTTTTAATTTTTTTAGTTTTCGGCGGACACAACATCTTTGTTTGTATGTGGTGCTGAGGATCGAACCTGGGCCGTAAGCATGCCAGGCGAGCGCACTACCGCTTGAGCTACATCCCCAGCCCCACAGTTTACATCTTTTGAATCATTAAATCATTAACAAAGAATTCATACCTTTGTGTTTTATGTTTATGCTAAAGTGATTTACATACCACATCACAGTGTTATTCTGATTTTTATTATGTACTTACCTTTACCAAAGAGTTTTATACCTTTGTAAGTCATTTGCTAATGTTCTTTCATTTCAGCTCAAAGAATCCCTCTAGCATTTCCTGAAAAGCAGATCTAATGGTGATAAACTCCCTCAGCTTGTTTTTCTGGAAAAGTCTATCTCTCTTTAATTTCTGAAGAACAACTTGGATAGGTGTAGTGTTCATGGTTGGCACTCTTTCCTTCAGCACTTGGAACGCGCCATGCTACTCCCTCCTGGCCTGCAAGCTTCCCACTGGGAAATCCACTCATACAGTAAGATAATGGTAGCTCTACTGGAATTGAGTGGCGATTTTTCTCTTACTGCTTTCAGAATTCCCTATATTTAGTGACTTTTGACAATTTGATTACAACCTGTATCAGTGAAGATCTCTTTATGGTCAACTGAGTTCTTTAAGCATTATGGATCTGGATATTTCTCTTTTCATATTTGAGTAGGCTTATCATTCTTTCTTTAAATAAGCTGTTTCTTTCCATGCTCCTTTTAGAACACACAAAATATGATTGATGGTGTCCTATAAGTTCCATAAGCTTCTTTTACTTTTTTCATTCTTTTTTTTTCTATATTAAAGATGGCAAGATGGCTAATATGTGTTTTACTACAAGCTTTAAACAATAGTACATCTCTACAGTGGAATGAAATGCAGTCAACAAAAAAGAAGGACGGGTCTTTTAAGGACTGATAGGAAACACTCTCCTCTGTTAAGTGAAGAAAGGAAATATTCAAACTGTGTGCAAAATAGGGGGGAGAAAAGAATAGAACAAAATCTATGACCTGCTTCCTAAAGTTCTCTATTGCTCTCTCCTCCAGTCACTACCTCCCTACCTCATGCCAGTCAGGAATCTCTACCCTGACTCTTGTATTTTTTTAGTTGTAGATGGACACAATACTTTTGTTAGTTCTTTTTAATGTGGTGCTGGGGATAGAACCCAGTGCCTCACACATGCTAGGAAGTGCTCTACATTGAGCCACAAACCCAGCCCTCTCTCTTTTTTTATTTTTTATTTTTCGGTGGACAGAACATATTTTATTTTTATGTGGTTGTGAGGATCGAACCCAGCGCACCCCACGCATGCCAGGCGAGCGTGCTATGGCTTTAGCCACATCCCCAGCCCCTAGCCCTCTGACTCTTAAAGAGACTAGTTCACATGGTATGTACTCTTAGACCTGGCATCTTTCTCCTTATATTGTATGTGTAAGATGCATCCATGTTGTTGAGTGTGGTTGCAGATGGCTCATTCTCAATGCCAATAGAGTTCCATTTGTTTATCCATCTTTCTGTTGACAGGTATTTACGTTGCTCTGTTTGGGCTTCTGACAAATAGTTCAGCTATGAATATGTTACCTTCATGTTTTGTGGTGAAAGGGTATAAGCATTTTTATTGAATACATTTCAAGGAGTTGAATTAGGGTCACAGAGTGTCTGTTTACCTTTGAAAGGCACTGTCAAATGGTTTTTTAACTAACTTCTAGTGGCTCCAAGTGCTTCTGTTGACAACTCCAAAAGCAAAACAAAACAAAACCAACTTGGGCCAAAACCAACAATCATGGGCTGCCGGTTGTCATCTCTGGCCTACTGCATCTTCAGCTTATGGAAGAGAAGAGCTTCATGAGGTAAATTTAAATTTCAGCATGGCATGCCCTTAATCCTTTGCAACATCCCCAATTCCAGGATATCAAACTCCTTACTTCTTTCACAGGCAGCCTTCCTCTTTTGTCCCTTTGCTGATTTGTCTTGTTTTTGTGGCACTGAGGATTGAACATAGTCTCATACATGCTATGCAAGCACCTTACCCCTGAGTTACATCCTCAGCCTTTTCCTGATCTTTTTTCTTTTTTTTTTTTGTACCAGGAATTGAATTCAGGGTCACTCAACCACTGACCCACATCCCCAGCCCTATTTTCTATTTTATTTAGAGACAGGATCTCACTAAGTTGCTTAGTGCCTAAGTTGCTGAGGCTGGCTTTGAACTTGTGATCCTGCTGTCTCAGCCTCCTGTGCCACTGGGATTACAGGCATGCACCACTGCGCTTGGCCTTTTCCTGATCTAAATGTGGGCATTTTCCACACCATTCCTGCCATTTTGAAGGTTCTGGAAAGCTGCCAGGCTCTAGCTAATTTGCATGCACTGAAAAATGCTGTCACCACTGCCTGTGACTTCCCTTTCCTCAATCCTTGGTAAATTACAAGCCCCAGTGATAAGATACAGGGCTGACACAGGGCAAGTGCTTGGACCAAATTTATGCACAAACTCAGGCACTCTTTGATGCTCAATTTTTTTTTTAAGGTAATGGGAGAAAGCACCATTAGACAAGAGAAAAGGTAAATTTTATTTCCACCCTCCCCAGAGTAACTGATACCACTTTCTTTGAATATATGAGGAGTGTGTATTTGTATGCCCCACTGCACCCCACCCCAGCGCCCCCAAAGGCTGAGAATAAATGGTGAGTAGCAGGAAAGGCCCACTGACAAGTTAATATCCTGCAAAGATGAAGTTAGGGAACCTCTGAGGCAGTGCATTCCAGGTAGAAAGAGCGCAGGTGATAATGCCCGTTAGCAGGGAGTGCTTGGCCTGTTGGAGGGGCAGAAGGTGAAAGAGGTGAGCAGGGATCAAAGTCGTGGACTTAAGATGGGTGAAACTGCAAGAGCTTTTATAAACTACTCTTGAGAAATGTAGTCTCGTGAAAAAGCAAGTTATAGGGCTGGGGTTATGGCTCGGTGGTAGAGCACTTGCTTAGCCTATGTGAGGCACTGGGTTCAATTTTCAGCACTGCATATAATAAAATAAAAGTCCATCAACATCTAATAAAAACATTTAAAAAAAAAAAAAAGAGCAAGAGTTTTTAACCAGGAGTAAAAAGGTCTAACTTATGGTTTTAAAAATCCACTTGGGGGTTGGGGTTGTGGCTCAGTGGTGGAGTGCCTGCCTTGCCAAAAATTTGTGTCCACGAATAACTAAAAAAAAATTTTTTTAAATCCACTTCAGAGGAGCTCTGCCCCTCTTCCTTTTTGCAGTTGCTGAGAAGGCGCCATAGCTTACCTAATTGCTACCAAATGATGGACATTTAGCATACTTCCAATATTTTACTCAAAGCACTTCTAAGTATCTTCCCTTCCAAAAATTCCAGCTGACAATTTTCAATTAAATTTTTACCCCCTACGGTAAACCAACTAAACCAGGCCTCTTAAACGTCTTCATTAAAAAAAAAAAAAAAAAAAGTAGCGTACAATCCAGGGTTACCAGCTCAGACGCCAGGCCTAAAGCCATTTTCGCTTAAAACTGAGCTTAGGCAAGCACCGAGTTTAAAAGAGACGGCGTGCTCCTTCAGCACAGATGGAACAGCTAGGACGGGTTCTCAAAAGCTAGATCCCTAGAAGTATCCGGTTCCAGACCCAGAACCCACGCTATTATAGCAGTAGGCACGGGAGGACCGAAGATTCAGTATTAAATATTCAATATTAAACAGAAAATCAGACCAAAGCAACCACGCAGGGAGGGGAGAAGCACCGGGATCCGCGCCTGCATAACAGCTCGCGCCGGTTAAGTCTTCCCACGACCCGCGCCAGCGCCTGCGCACGACGCCCACCCCGTAGGCCTGATTAGCCTTTCTTGCCGCCTAACGTAAGGGACAGTTGCTCGTTCGTGAAACCGTTTTCCCTCTGCCTTTCCAGTCTAGGAGACCACTTATGAAAGTCCGAGTCGAGCTACACAGAAAGCGAAGGCTCCACGCTCGTGGACTTCAGGACCTGCAAACCTCAGGTGTCCAGGGGCATTGTGGGTGGGGGCACCCGCAGCCACGTGACAAGCTTCCGCTAATCGGGGTGAAGACCGCACTTTGCGGCTCGGCTTCAAACGAACTACGGCAAGGCCGAGCGGCCTCTGGGTCCTCCCCCCTCCGTCTGGGTCTGGGGCCCCGCGAGACGCCGGCCGGGGTGGGGGCGCCGGGGGCGGGGGCGGGGCGGCGGGGTCGAGTGACGGCCGGCCTCACCTATTCCCGGCGCGGGCCGAGGCGCGCGCGCGGTGCGAAAGGCGCCGCAGCCAATGGGGGTGGGGGGCGGCCCGGCCGGCGGGGGCGCGGGGGGAGGAGGGGGCGGGCTCCCAATCCGGTTCCATCCGGTTCTCCCACCGCCCCCTCCGCGGGTCGCAGCAGCTCCGGCGGCGGGAGCCACAGCAGCAGCAGCAGCTAGGCAGCGCAGCTTCGGGAGGCTTCCGCGCGCCGCGGCTCGCAGCACTCGCACGTGCCCCGCGCGCCGCCAGGATGCCCAAGAGGAAGGTGAGCGCGGCTGCGGCGCGCCGAGCTCCAGACGCCCCGCCGGCTGCGCCAGGCCCCGGCCCGGCCCCGCCGCACCCACGGCGGCCGCGCCGGGCCGGGCGGCGCGCGGGCGGGCGCGCGGGGCCTGGGGGGCGTCCTGGAGGGTTTTGTGGTGGGGGGGCGCGGCCGCGGCGGCGGGAGCGCTGACGTCACGCGGCCGGGCATTGTTCTCTGGCGAGGGGCGCGGGCGCAGGCGCGGCGGGCGGCGCCCACTCGGTGTGCTTCCTCCACAGGTCAGCTCGGCCGAAGGCGCGGCGAAGGAGGAGGTGAGCGCGCGCTCGGGGCGGGGGGCGGGGTCGCGCGCCGCCGCGCTCGCTGACGCCCTTTCTCTCCCGCAGCCCAAGCGGAGGTCGGCCCGCCTGTCGGCTGTAAGTATGGCGCGCCCCGAGGCYGTGGGGTGGCCGCGGCGCGCGCGGCCGCCGGCTGAGCGCTGCTTTTGCCTTTCAGAAGCCTGCTCCTGCCAAGGCGGACGCCAAGCCCCGGAAGGCGGCGGGCAAGGTGAGTGCGGCGCCTGCGCGGTGGGCCTGCGGTCGTGGTGGGGCTGCGCGTGGATCTTCGCGCGGGGTAAGGGGAGTGGCGCGTCCCGTTAAGGCCGCCAGCACTTAGGAAGTGTGAGCTGGAGGAGCGTTGGCTTCAGGTTCAGAGGAAAGCTGGGCGCATGGTGCGGTAGGTACTGGTTCGCTCCTGCACCTCACGTTCCCACTCCCAGGGCCACGGCCTGGTAGGGCCACGGCCAGCTAGGCACTCCTGCCGGCAGGAAGGACGGGTAGGTTTGTGCACGGTTTCCAAGCCGAGATCCCCTCTTTTCACCCTGGATGCGGGCAGATCAGAAGTGTGTGTTCTCTGAGAAGTGTTTTATTGCCAGTGCAGTTGCTGTCCTAACAGCCTTTGAGTCAACGGGATGATTTATTGCTCCAGAATAAAATTATGACGCACCATTCAGATTGTGGTTTGCAAGTTTTCAGAATACAGGTTATTCTTAGGTGTATGTAAATCTGATGATGGGAGTGATGGTGGGGAGTGTTTGAAAATAACGCCTACGTTCCATTCCCAAAAGTGTAGATGGAAGGTTGGCACTGCATGATTGTCAGTAGAGGCAAGCTGGTTTGTTTTTGGGGCTCTGAGTTTTTTCAAGCATTGTATAGAATTGAATGTAAAAACAAAAGGCATGTTTTTGTAATCTTTTTAAAGATAAATGTGCAAGGAAGTAATAAGTATGATACATCACTCCAGCAGGCAATTAAGTAGTTCTCCATTCACACAGTACCATAGAAACTTTTCATGAGTACCTGAAAAAAAGTGTTGTTATAAAATGTTGGTATAAGTATCGTTATTACCCACCTTTTTGATTATCCGCTTTTTAAACAGGTTAGCTAAAATACTTGCTTGTTTCACTCTATTTTTTTTTCTTCCCTTTGTTTATCTATATCTTGATTTACTTGTAAAAATTTTTAGATGCAAACAGTTTTACCCCCAGTGGGTTTGGGACAGCAGATGTAATCTTTTCCCCCCCTTCTCAAGGTAAGTCTAACTATCCCTATTTGAGGAAAAAACTTTCGATTAAGTTTTCTCAAAGGAAAAATGGGAGAAGAGTTTCTTTGTTTTTATATCTAGTTTTAATAAGCCTTTGTCTTAGTCTTTGAATACAGTCCAGCTCTATTCAATAATGTGGAGTAAGCACTACTTGGTGCATTGATTATCAAACTGTATAATGCATACACTTTTTCAAGTTACTTCTAGTGTGAGCTTCTGACTTGTATCATTTCTTTAGGAGTAAATATTTCAAAAGCTGAAACATCATACTTAGGAAAATTTGGTTTATTTTTGGTACTGGTTTTTGGACCCAGAGCCTTCTCATTGCTAGGCTGCTCTCTGCTGCTGAGGTACGGCCCTATTCCCCACTTAGCTATCAATGGTTACAAACATTATTTCAAGTCAATGATAATGTGTATTTTGAAGATGTGAAATCTGCATGCATGTCTTGTGGCCATTTAACTTAAGTAATTGGTCAGTACTCATAGGAATCTTTTATACAACCTACTGGTGACCTAACGTAACTATTATTACAGTCTTTATTTACAGGGAACTGTGTGAAGTTTTTATAAGCTGCTGCTTCCTCATTGGTAGATGATATCCAAAAATACTGTTTTATATTGCTTTAAATTAGTATTTCGGTTTACAATATCATACTAATACCTGTGCTTTTCAGATTCTTCAAACACCTAAATGAAAAAGATAAAATTGATCCTTTTATAGCTACTCATTAAAAGATATCAAGGGATTAACTGTAGCAGAATAGTCAACATGACCATACAACATGGTGCTTTTTCCAGGTGAATGGTCTTCGTGTGAGGGTAACAGTCTTGTCAGGACAGTGATTATCTACCAGATGGATTATTATTCAGGCTTAAAAGAAAATTGTGGGTTGGTAGGGTTATACTGGGAAGACATTCTTAAAGCTCTTCTGCTTATTTTGTCATGTAGAACTTAAAAGAGGGTAGGGGTAATGGTGGCTGAAAAAGTGAAGCACAGGCTCTAGTTTTAATCCTATGGCTAATGAGACTTGATGTGCAAACACTCTTATAAATCTCCTTAGCATATTTTGTCTTCATTACTGGGGGTGGATCTTAAGTTACCTTGTGGATGAGGTAACTCAGGTTGATGTGTGCTTAGCATTGTTATAGTGGTTACCATGGATGTAATCCGTATTGAGTCAGACAGTGGAAGTATGAAGTTTATACTTAGAATATTCTCCTAATCTATTTTAGGATAAATCATCAGACAAAAAAGTTCAAAAAGGGAAAAGGGGAGCAAAGGGAAAACAGGCTGAAGTGGCTAACCAGGAAACTAAAGAAGATTTACCTGCAGAAAATGGAGAAACGAAAAACGAGGAGGTCAGAAGTGTTGTGTTTGGCATTGATTTTTTACTCTGAATAATAGGTTTTCTTTATAAATTAGATATTATTTGAAAGTATATATATAAACAAGCGAACACAAAATTTTAAAGTACTCAGTATCATCAGTACTGTGTCGGTCTACCATCTAAGTCATACAGAGAATTCATTCATAATTCTTGGTATAAAAATTTTTAGGAAAGAATTTACAAAATGCTATGCAGCTTAATTTCTTTCCACATGAACATGTACCTTATGTAGGTATGCAGTTTCTTGTTTTCAAATTGTGTACAGATCTGTCATATTGACTAGGACATGCTTGAATCTTGGGTATTTGTTGACTGGGCTGTCCTCAATTTCTTGAGTCCTCCTACCTCTTTTTTCTTTTTTTTTTTTTTTTTTTTTAAGGGGAGGTTGTACTGAGGATTGAGCTCAGGGTACTCCACCACTGAGCTACATCCCCAGCCCTATTTTGTATTTTATTTATTTATAGACAGGGTCTCACTGAGTTGCTTAGTGCCTTGCCATTGCTGAGATTGCTAAGGCTGGCTTTGAACTCGTGATCCTCCTCAGCCTCACAAATTGCTGGGATTACCAACATGTGCCACTGCACGGGGCTCCTGCCTTATCTTCCCAAATAGCTGGAAGTAGTATATCAGACATGTCACTGTCCCCACTTTGGAACAACATGCTAAGCAAACACTCCTTAAACTACATTGCCAGCAACTGTTTTTGTTTTGTTTTGTTTTAGTACTACTGATATTGCTTGAAGTTTTTTTTTTTTTTTTTTTTAAGTGAAGTATTTTGATTTTTGTATGCCTTTATGTTAGTTACATTGGCTAAACTGGAAAAGGTAAATTACTGCCGGGCGCGGTGGTGCATGCCTGTAATCCTAGTGGCTCTGGAGTCTGAGACAGGAGAATTGCCAGCAAAGTCGGCCTCAGCAATGGYCAGGCAGGAGCCAAGCAACCCAGGGAGTCCTTGTCTCTAAATAAAATACAAAATAGGGCTGGGAATGTGGCTCAGTGGTCAAGTGCCCCTGAGTTCAATCCCTGGTACCAAAAAAAAGTAAATTATTTAGTAACCAGCTTTTAGACTGATTTTTACAGATAAATTTTTAGTGATCAAATATTTCTAAATTAGCTGGGGTTCAGTTTTTTTTTTAACTTCCTGATTCTAACCATGTCAAATATTACATGAAAATCTCATTGTTAATTACATTTAAAATCACATTATTAATCTAGTCTTCGTTATAAAGGAATAAAATTGACCTTCTGGTACGTGTTACAAGAATAGTTAATTCTCCTTATTTTCAGTATTTGTTTTATGAAGTTTTCTCAAATGCCAGGCCATCACACCTGGGGAAATACAGGGTTAGGTTCCTGAAATTGTAGTTGCAATTGTAGAATTGCAATATTTTTTCAACTGATGTGTACATTACTTTGTTTTGTGTGTATTATATAAGCCATGCCTGTATGGTGAAGCTATCCATACCTTTTCTCTGTAAGGCACATCACAGCCTTCTCGGATTTAGCAACACTAACTAGACATCACTTAGGTGTTAAATTTAATTTAAAACCTATGTGTTAAATTCTGAAGATCTCAAAGATGCCCCGGAAATCAGATGTCTAATTGCTTTTCTTTGATTTACAGAGTCCAGCCTCTGATGAAGCAGAAGAGAAAGAAGCCAAGTCTGATTAATCATACACCATGTCTTTTCAGTGGTCCCGTCTCCCTTCTTGTACAATCCAGAGGAATATTTTTATCAACTATTTTGTAAATGCAAGTTTTTTAGTAGCTCTAGAAACATTTTTAAAAAGGAGGGAATCCCACCTCATCCCATTTTTTAAGTGTAAATGATTTTTTTTTAGAAGTGAAATCATTTGCTGGTTGTTTATTTTTGGGTACAACCAGAAAATAGTGGGATATTGAATTATGGGAGGCTTGGACTGTCTTTGGTGTCAGCTTAACATTCCATAGGTGGGGGGTTAGTTTTATATCCTACAATACAAAGCATATTAAATGGCAGTTTGGAGTCACAGTATTGCATTTAATGTCTTGAATATTTTAAATTACTTCTATTCCTGTGTTTTTTAGTAGAATTGTTTCCTAAAGAAGACCACTACTGGATCATTGCTGTCAGAATCGTATGTACTCTGTAACATCTTTGGTTGTGGAAGTCTAGTTTTCCTAATATTTTTAATGTGCTGTGAAAGATGAAAAATTTGAGTATGTTGTGTGTGACAAAGTTTTGAATTAGTGGGACCTAAGTAATAACATTCAAAGATACTGGTACTTGATATTCTATTAAGAAAAAATTGCCTCCAAATTAAAAGCTGGAAAGTCACTGGAATAACTGAAAAAGAATCACAGTATAAAGCTTTTTAGATTTCCGGTACGTGTGTTAAGAATTGTGTACAAAGTGAAATGTCTGTGTACTGATTCTCAATACAGCCAATAAAATCTCAGACACGAAAATGTTTTGAATTTTATTTGGAGAATTTGAACATCTGTGTACTTAGAAGATATTTGACTATTAAATGTCTTTAGGGGTAGATGGACACAATAACTTTTATTTTTATGTGGTGCTGAGGATCAAACCCACTTCTTCAAACGTGCAAGACAAGCACTGTGCCACTGAGCTACAACCCCAGCCGAAGATGTTTCTTTTGAATTAATAATGGTAAACAGTCCAGAATTGTTAATTCCTTCACATAAGGCAGGATTATAAGTACAGAACAGGCTCCAACTAAGTATAATAAGGTTTCTATTGTTCATTTTTTTAAAGACCAGTTCATCATGTTTTTCATGCGGGGCTCAAGTGGTATTATTGCCTCAGCCTTCTGGTTGGCTGGGACTGTAGGCCTCTTCCTCACACTTGTTACCTTTCTCCCGATGTCARTGAATACCCTTCTGTAGCATTTACCAGTGCTGGGTAGTATTTATTTCTAGAACATGATATAGCAGACATTTAGACTCCCCCTCCCACACACACACACATATACAAACAGGTATAGTGGTTCAATCCCTGCACCTCATTCTTTTAATCCATAGCCAAAGATGTATCACAATCTCCACTTTGTGGATTGAGATAGTTGAAAGTTACTAAACAGAAGTAGCTCAGTAACAACTGGTTTTAAGATAATGAAAATTAGGATTACATTTTTTAAAAAGGACTGAAAAATACAAATAAGCGTTTAAAGTTTTTTAATTGCAGAATGTTTTAATTCTTGACTAATAGTTTATTATGTGACTACCAGGTATGGTGGCACAACACCTGTCAAGGACTTGGGAGGTAAGGCAGGAGGATCACAAATTCAAGGCCAGCCTCTGCAACTTTGCAAAGCCCTAAACAACATCCTTAATATATAAGTGCAAATTATACTAATCTTAAATTTTATCACTGAAAGCATTTATTTACCTTTGGAAAGCTACAGTTAAGCAAGATGCCATGGCACATGCCTGTAATCCCAGTGATTTGGAAGGCTGGGGCAAGAGGGATTGCCAAATTAAAAGCCAGCCTCAGGGCTAGGATTGTGTCTCAGCGGTAGAGCACTCAMCTAGCCCAAGTAGGACCTGGGTTCAATCCTCAGCACCAGATAAAAAACAAAGGCATTGTGTTGTGTCCATCTACACCTAAAAAATTTTTTAAAAGCCAACCTCAGCAACTTTTAGAGACCCTCCCCCTCCTTTTTTTTTAAATGTTTATTTTCTAGTTGTAGTTGGTCACAATACTTTTATTTTTTAATGTGGTGCTGAGGATCGAACCCAGGGCCTCACATACAAAGCAAGCACCTGATTGCTGAGCCACATTCCCAGCCAGAGTCTTAGAATAAATAACCCAGTGGTTGGGGTTGCTGAACTGGGAAGATTGGGAGTTCAAAGCCAGCTTCCGCAATTGCAAGGTGGTAAACAACTTGGAGCCTGTCTAAAAAAAAAAAAAACAAAATAGGGCTGGGGTTGTGGCTCAGTGATTGAATACCCCTGAGTTCAATCCCTGGTACCAAAACCAAAAAAGTTAAACTAATGACAGTAAGTTCAACTTAAAAATACACTAGTAATCTGTTATGCATGATTGATAGAGAAGAAAAGTTGGAAGCCCTGCATGCTTGGATGCATGTTAAAATGTGCAAGACTCATTTCCACTGATGCTGATATGGGTTTTCAAAAACATTTTTTTTTTGGACACAATACCTTTGTTTTCTTTATTTTTATGTGGTGCTGAGTATCGAACCCAGGGTCTCACACGTACTAGGCAAGCACTCTACCACTGAGCCACAATTCCAGGCAGGGAAACAAAATATTTAAAGACAGCTGTTGCATGAATTCTCACTTTGTACTTCTTATTTTGTTTATCTGAAACCATTGTGAAGTAGGAATTCAACAGACTTATTTGAGCTGATAAGCCTGGTACTCTGGTGAAGGGAGTGCATGCTGTCTCCCTTATGCAGGTCTCAACATAGTTCTTGGTCACCATTAAAAATGAGCATTTGTCTCTACAAAGAAAAACCATGATTAGAATCTTTGACATAAAAGAAGATCTGAGTAAATGAGATGTACACAACATTTCTAGGAAGAATCACTAAGGGGTCAGTTCTACCTAAAAAGGTAATGCAGCCAGCTTCAGGGTTGCACACCTGTAGTCCCAGCGACTGGAGACTTGATGCAAGAGGATCATAAAGAACAAGAAGAGGGCTGGGGATGTGGCTCAAGCGGTAGCGCGCTCGCCTAGCATGCGTGCGGCCAGGGTTCGATCCTCAGCACCACATACCAACAAAGATGTTGTGTCCGCCGAGAACTAAGAAAAAAATAAAATAAAACGTTAAAAATGCTCTCTCTCTCTCTCTCTGTCCCTCTCTCTCTCTCTCAAAAAAAAAAAAAAAAAAAGAACAAGAAGAAAAAAGCCGGGGCTGGGGATGTGACTCAAGCGGTATCGCGCTCGCCTGGCATGCCTGGCATGCGTGTGGCCCGGCTTCGATCCTTAGCACCACATACAAAGATGTTGTGTCCGCCGAAAACTAAAAAAATAGATATTAAAAATTCTCTTTCTAAAAAAAAAAAAGAAAAAAGCCAAATATTTGACCTAATAATATCTTCTCCCCACAAAAGAATCCATTGTCATAGGTCTATATATCTGTAAAGCTGTCTAAAGCCACTTTTGCAGTGGGTAGCCATGGCCATTCCCAGGGTAGGAAGGGAATTTAAGCTTTTTAATACATTTATGTCTGTATGCTTTTGAATTTTTTAAAACAAGCATATAATCACTTCAAAATTTTGAAACCAGGCCTGGGAATGTGACTTAGTGGTAGAGCATTTGCCTAACATCTGTGAGCCTCTGAATTCAATCCCTCGGGCATCAAAACCACAGGAAAAAAAAAACTTAGGTTGGGATCAGCTTATGTCTGTTTATAGTTGAGCTAGAGATTCTTAAGGGACTTCCCAGGGAACATCCATCAGTGGTTAGAGCACTTGCCTGACATGCTCAAGGTCATGGATTTGATCCCCAGAGTTTAGAGTTGCCCTGTGAGGGCAACTTGGACACACCCCTTAGTATGCAAGGCCCTGAACAAATCTGGAGTTTGAAGCTTCTCTGAGGTAATCSGAACCCTCCCCTCCCCAAGCTTGCCAAGAATCAGAGGCTAAGGAGTAGGATCCCCAACTTGGAACTCTTGCATGCAGTTCCGGAGTATGCAGGGGCATGGATAATCTATTGAAAAGGTTCTAGAAAACATCTTGAAGTCTGCTCTTGATGATCCATGCTGTGGCAGCAAAGGAACTGCATGTCAAAACAGTACAAGGGCAAAGGGCACACAAGATGCACTCTGCATCTGAGACAACTCACCCTGTGCTTCGTATGCAAAGACCCCCTGGGAGGGTCTTCCCACATCTGCCTTGGGGGAGGGGTCAGGTGAGTGAGGGCTTTGGAGGAGACAGAGTGCCTCTAGGAGAGGCTCCTTCTACCTTTTCACTGTCTTATGCTCTCCCTCTACCTCTGGGAAGAAGTGTTTCCAGAGAGGACTTTGTCCACTTGGGGTGATCAGAGTGGGGAAGGATTTAGCCTGACTGAGGAGATGGTGAGGTCTTTGAGTTGTCCTGTTTTTCTCAATCTTCAAGTTGCATTATGTAGGGAAGAGAATTTGGATGGGGGTCCTGGTTTTTAGTTCAATACAGGCTTTGGGGTTTCTTGTACATTTTTTTTTTAGGGGAGTGATAATAGGGGTTGAACCCAAGGTGCTGTACCTCTGAACTATACCCCCAACCCTTATTTTTTGGAGATAGAGTCTTGCCAAGTTGTTCCAGGCTAGCCTCGAATTTGTGATTAGGATTACAGGTGTGTACAGCTGTTAGTGGCTTTGGCTTTGGGACTCCTTGCTGGTTTATCCTCAGGTTCTCCAGGAAGCACAGGAAATAAAAGCAACCTGATATGCCTGACTCTCCAGTTCCCCCTAGCATTGCATGAACAAGGTTTGTATGTGGGGGTTCTATCAACAACTGATGTGGGTATCAGGGGTAAGTACAGAGTCTGACTGTTCGTTCACTCATTCAGGTGTTAAGATAGCCCATGGGGCATACTCAGTTTGCCTGGCAGTCTCCCTGTGGGGTCCCAGTGCACAGACCTTTTCTTCATGTTGAGAAACAAACTTGAGTTGCCCCTCCTTTCACCAAACCTGCCTGCATGTCCTCACTTTTGTTTCAAGGCCTTTCCTTCAGCTTTTTCTCCCTCTGGGAGTGTTTTCAATTTCTTCTGTCTCAACTGTTTTAAAATGACATCTCTTGCTGGGCATGGTGGCGCACGCCTGTAATCCCAGTGATCGGGAACCTGAGTCAGAAGGATTGCAAGTTCAAAGCTAGCCTCAGCAATTTAGCGAGGGCCTAAGTGACTCTGTCACTAAGAGACCCTGTCTCTAAATAAAATACAGAAAAGGGCTGGYGATGTGGCTCAGTGGTAAGTGTCCCTGAGTTCAATCCCCAGTAACAAAAATATAAAATGACACTCTTCCATGAAGCTTCCTTAGATTTTCTTGGTTCACACCCAGGTGTACTGCTGAATTCCTCTCATTGTAGTCACTAAGTTTGAAAGCTCCCCTTCCTTGCTCACCTGTTATGTTCCCGGTAGGCCTCAGGCACCTTAAAAAATAGATCACCTCATTTGAGTGTCAGATAATCCTACTAGAGAAGARGCATCTTCATGTTGTACATGGAAAAATGGTAGCAAACTCGGACTGACCAACAGAAAGCCACATGTCTAGAAACGGAACTTGATTTTATCTGGCCAAATATTTTCAGTAAAAGGTTAGTCAAG